CTGATATTTTTTATAATTATTCATAATGAACTTTATGTCGAAACTTCAACCTTAACTTTGTTGTCTTGTCGGTGTTTCTGACAACTTCTGATCTATACGATTTATTTTTCAGTATCATCTCTTTCTTGTTGTCGAAATATCAAAGTAAAATCCTTTTTTCTAGATGGGCCTAAATTGCTTTTCATCTTCGCAAATCGATTTCCCGGATGTGCGGACGAGTCGAAGTTATGACAAAATTGGCGGGAATATTTCTGTTCTGTTATTTCGCTCTTCAGTGGATTTTTTCCTTGTGATAAATTGTTCTAATATTATCAATATGTAATATAAATGTTTAAGGAAAAAACTTCGATTTTTCAACAAATACTTGGCGCTTTGTTTCCTTTTCGAGCGGAGTATGGGTTTCCTGTGGTGGTACACGGAATCCAGGACGGAAACGTACGTACGCGCGGGAACCCTATGTCGGTCCATGGAAAATCGACTCGATGGTATACCATTTTTTCTTAGTTATGGTGCTCCGCTCGGGAGCTCCGCTATAATCAGATACTTACTGGTAGCAATGCAAACTTGTCCGTTCCCTACATAGCCTGGCTTGCATGTACACAAAAAGGACCCTTTGATGTTGTTACAAACTGCGTTTGAGTCACAGTTGTGTGAACTTGCAGCGCATTCATTGATATCTGAAAACAAGTGATTTTAAGATTTCTACAACCAATAATTCAGCTGTCAAACATAACAACAGTTAATCAAAACGAAAAAACCATTTGACTGTTATTTTTTACTGAAGTAGCATATATAATAGTAGAAGAATTAGCGCTTAAAAAAATTAAGCTATTGAATACATATATTACCTGAGCAATTCTTCTGTCCATCTCCATTGAATCCTGTTTTACATTTGCAGAAATAGGAACCATGAGTATTGTTGCACTCAGCATCAACGTGACAGGTTTGAGGATCAGAACACTCGTTGATATCTGACAACAACACATCGCAAAGCAACTTTGTTAAAAAGGTTTATTTCGTAACTACAAGCTATTTACACGTCTACCTCACTAGYATAAATTATCAGGAGCCCATTACTAGGAGTATTCATGCCTTTATACAGACTAGTGTCACGGCGTTTTTATACACGTATGTATTTTTAGATTTTTCTTCAGATATCTCTTCACTATAGAAATCATGATTGGAGGACGACTCGTTCTCATTATCCTCGCCCGCTCTTTTATTTAGTTTTGGTTCCTCACGGATCTTGCACGCGCGTAATATCTGATCAGACAGCTCATTGGTCAGAAAAAAAAACAAAAAAACAAAAACAAAACAAAACAAAAAAAATTAAACTTTAAAACTTCTTTGTTTTTCATAGTAATAATGCGCACCCTRTTTAGCTCAAGAAGAAACAATATAGGGTGAACACTAATATAGANACGGCCGCCAGCCTCCGAAACGTTCTTCGAAACTCCCCTTAATTTTGAAAGAAATGTCCGTGACGCGCTGAAGTTGGGACAGTCAAAGAGCCGTTAAATCCGAGAGAGACTGGAACGAACAAAACATCGACTCTTCGGAGGGCCACACGGGGCGAAAAGCGTGCAACCAAACACATGCCCGTCGGGAGACCACAGGGGCCCTTTGCATCGAATGCCATTGTCCTCAGCCGGCCAATCAACTTGCGAGATGGCCATTCAAATATATTCAAATATATTCAAGCGTTCAAGCGCACAAAAACAAAAACTGATTTGCAGGGAAAACTCTCCAGTATTCAAATTTATTCAAGCGTTCCAGAAATACAACTGATAGCGGGGAAAACTCTCCAGTATTCAAATTTATTCAAGCGTTGCAAAAAAAAAAACACTGATGGCAGGGAAAACTCTCTAGTTGACGTCTTTAGATTAAAACTATGGGAAAGTCTTGGTACGAAGCTCTACGTGCGTGGTAAGCTCCAGACATTCATAGCCGTATTAAATGAGACTATTTGATGTGCTCGTTGCGTCCAATATAAGCTGAACGTAATGTAATTCTTACTTTTTAGGATAACGCTGAATTACGAGTTGAAATCCAAAAGTTATACTAAATGCAACGACCTTCACGAACATGCAAATGCTGAAAAGGAAAACCTTGGATGCTTGGTGGGGAGAAAGGCACTTAAACTCAAGGAAATCGGCTGAAACTTCGTCAGAGGATCGCACAATACATCAATAACAACATATTTGAGCTTTGTTTCGATTTATTAAAATTCAAGCGAGAAATTCTCGATTCAATAACACCACATAAACTCTTCAAAATAACGGTAAATATAGAGGGGAGGGGTGGTATAAGAACCACTGATAAAGAGCCTGTGCTCCCTGTGATTCTACTTCAACAGCGAACAACTAAAGTATCAAAGTTTTTGATCCAAAAATAGCCATCACGTTCATTCGGTCTTTCCCAGGCATAAAAACACTCGTATACATTTCATAATATGACACTGTCTCGACACTGTCACTGATTGGAATAATGATAAGAGCTTTGAGAAATTTCGACTAAGAAACCTTACAATATAAAAGGAGAAAAATAGAATAAACTTGACAACATAATAAAGTGTACATATTTTATTGATTGAATTCAAACCGAGCCGAGTTTGGCTTTAGTTATTTCAACCTGTCGGCTTTGTAATCACTAATGCATCAAATAAATGTCAACAAGGTACTAGAGTTCTATAAGTCCCGATAAATAAATAACTCAACAACAGATTTATANTAAGATTTCTACAACCAATAATTCAGCTGTCAATCATAACAACAGTTAATCAAAACGAAAAAATCATTTGACTGTTATTTTTTACTGAAGTAGCATATATAATAGTAGAAGAATTAGCGCTTAAAAAAATTAAGCTATTGAATACATATATTACCTGAGCAATTCTTCTGHCCATCTCCATTGAATCCTGTTTTACATTTGCAGAAATAGGAACCATGAGTATTGTTGCACTCAGCATCAACGTGACAGGTTTGAGGATCAGAACACTCGTTGATATCTGACAACAACACATCGCAAAGCAACTTTGTTAAAACGTTTATTTCGTAACTACAAGCTAACTATATGTCTACCTCACTAGAATGAATTGTCAGGAGCCAATTACTAGGAGTATTCATGCCTTTATACAGACTAGTGTCACGGCGTTTTTATACACGTATGTATTTTTAGATTTTTCTTCAGATATGTCTTCACTATAGAAATATGATCAGAGGACGACTCGTTCTCATTATCCTCGCCCGCTCTTTGATTATTTAGTTTTGGTTCCTCGCGGATCTTACACGCGCGTAATATTTGATCAGACAGATCATTGGTCAGAAAAAAACAAACAAACAAACAAAACAAAAGTTAAACTTTAAAACTTCATTGTTTTTCATAGTAATAATGCGCACCCTGTTTAGCTCAAGAATTATTTATAAGAAACAATATAGGGTCAACACTAATATATAGATTAAGGTATTTCGATCGAAATTTAAAAATATAGCGCTCTGCGCGTATTTTTAAGTACTCCAACTACGTTGTAAATTTCGATTTGATTCCACTCAAATTTTCACAGAAGTAACAGTGATTATCGATAATTCTTGTTGATATGAATTAATTTGCCAAAAAAATGAAGCCATTTGGATAAACGATGCAAAATAAAAACAACTTCATTTCTCCTCAAAGTTAATTTTCTCGAAACTCTCATCGATGCTGGGGATAATGTCGTCATGCAGCCCTTGCGTAAGATCAAATTATAGCTTTCAGTGTTTATTGAGGATGGAACTTTGGTCATTTGAGCGATAGCGCGTAATGTTTAATGAGGAAAGATTCTTTTACGCCCCAAAATGAAGTTGTTTAAATTTCTAGTTGCGCTGATGGCAAAAACGTTTTTCGTAGTAAACTCATGGGTATTTGCCTTGGACAACCGTTGTATGAAAGATTTAGCTATCAAGCTCAATAGTAGTTTTTTTCATTATTTGACCGATTAGTATGTTTATACTAAAACAATTAGACCTCTCGGCCTCGTGGACTACGAGCTAATAGCCCATTCGGCCTCGCGGACTCGGCCTCATGGGCTATTAGCTCGTAGTCCACTCGACCTCGAGGTCTAATTGTTAAATATCAACTAAGTTTTCGTGGTGACAGATGTCATCTATAAGTATCTTGGTGTTGATAATTATACATTCTGCGACATTGAAAATACGGTGCAATTGTTTATCCTGTTACTGCTATTGAATGTCACACTGCATATATAATCACGTAATTGAATGTTTGTTCTTGTTTGTTGTTGTTGTTGTTGTTGTTGTTTTTGTTTTTGTTTTTGGCGTTATTGAAACTCAAGAAAATGCCAATGAATTTCTTTTCGCTCTGTTGTTTTTACTGATGAAGTAAATGAATGTATATTTTGCGTAAATGAACAGCAAAAGTTGTATTTCTTTTTTTAAATACTTTTGTCAAAATAAGAAGAAGACAAATTGGCCTGTCTCTAATTAGTTATTCAAGAATTATCAGCACATTTAAGAACTGGAATCACTTTCGCGATTTTGGTCTCAGATTTGGAAAGATGCAAGTCAAAATAGAGATATTAAAGAGGTTGATATAAAAGTAGATTCTGATATCATCCAAAGATGCGGTTCACGGATGTCATCGTCTTGTCAGTGTTCAGCGCGGGATTTTGAGTAATCAAGACCAAGGCCGTAGTAGCTAGTAAGAGGCCAACCGAGTCACCCGCCCAGGTAAAAGTTTACCAATGCTTTTTGTTTTTCATGGCTGATAGTCATCTTAGACTCTCAGAGCAGATTTCGTACGACTGATTTTGTGCAAAAAATGTAAAAACGATATTAATCTTGTACGTATAGCTTCTTTGTTTTATAAATATAGCATGATAATTTCCGGTTAAATCTGTTCAATAAAGAGTTACCAAAAATCCCGCAAAACGCTGCAAATCGCATTTCCGAGAGACTGAATTTCAATTTTTTTCGGCAGTCGCTTGCCTCAGTTATCCGCTGACTTGCATGGGTACTCAGTGGTAAAAGTACCGGGGATACTCGTCGGAAATTTCGGAAATTAATGAACTTTCTATATTGACATGAGAACCTTCTATGTGCACACGAGAGTCATGCATATGCCATATATGGAAGTCGTATTATTGGACTTTAWTTTACTAGACACTGACCAGCGCAATATGAAATAAATTAAAGAATGCATTTGATCACAAAATCAACATTTTACCCTTCGGAGAACAGTCGGAGTTTCCTAAGTGACTGTAAATGGGCCACACAAGCAGATTAGCAATGTGTTAGACAACCATATGTCTTTCGAAATAAACTTTTAAAAGATTGTTTAGTGTATTTCGTGTCATGATGCATCAATATTTAATCATTCAGTTTTCTCAATGTAAGGACTTTGATATGGTGACCACGTCTGCTTAATAAAGGTGCTAACACTTCATAGGGTTTTAATTTATACAGTAAACTTGAGGGAGAAAAATCGGGATGTTTGCTGACCGTATAGAATCACTTTGAAATATAAGTTCGACTATACCAATTTTTTGAAATAATTAATTGTTGTCTACGCAAGATTGTAGTTTC